CAAGAGCCAATTGAGCTTAAAAAAAAAATTCTTCCTGTGAAAATCTCAGAAAATGACAGGTCAGATTTCAGCAAAGAAAAAAAAAGTCATGCTTAAGAAATTTGATATGTGTTTTTTTTTCTTTCATTTAAACATTTTAAAGCCTTAAAATTGCAATATTTTTCAGTCTATTTCATGAGAAAAAAATATTAGACGTTTTCGTTTAGGCAGTTACAAATGAGAAGTCAGTGTTAAAAAGAAGCAAAAGATGTACTCCATTTTGATAGATATATGTGTATTGACTAAAATGTGGAATAAACAAAACAAATAATAAGAGTAAATGATTTCTCAACATTTTACACTTCAGGTAATACTGAGTAACTGATACTTAAACTTATTTTTTGTAACTAAATATTCACCCAATATAAGGCCCAAGAGCTACTCAAGGTAGAGGATTACTGAGTGAGGTTGTTGTACATATATAAGAAGAGGAAGTAACTGAAGATTATGAGGATATGTAGGAAAGATCATGTTTCATTCTAAACATAAGAAGGTAAAGTTGTACTGATCAGGGTAGCAACATCCTGGGAGACTGTTTCACAAAGGATAGATGGGAGTTTTTGGAACAAGGCAACAGAATCTGCAAAGTTGGAATTCAGCTGAGATTGATCATGTTCCTTAGGAAAGGCATGAATCCACTTCTCCCTTCACTAATCCATTGTTATATATCTTAGCATTTAACTTCATTGGTATGCTTTGATGGTGGTTGAAAAACAAAGAAAAAAAAAAAGGTGGATGAATAAGAAGCTGGACATACTATTCACTTATAACCACTTTACCTGACAAGGCAGAAGTAATAAAAATAGTTACTGCCATTGTCAACCTTGACAGGGCCAACTGATCATAATAGAATTAAAAAAAAAAAAAAATTTCCTTTGTCATTTTCCTAAGCTGGTTAATAAAGGAAAACAATGAATCTACACATCTGTATGTGTGTATGTATTAGAAAAAGACAAATTATGGAAGCAAGTCACTTACAAATTTTGTGAATAAACAATATATAAAAAAATTATCTGAAAGAAGTAGAATTTTAATCAATTCTAGACACTACCTCATTAACTATAAGTGACTGAAGTAATATTTAGAAACTACATGAATATACAAGTTAAAAGATTGAATTCCTTAGAGTTAAGGGCTATCATTTTTTATGTATGAAGGTACAGCAACTCAGTTCTTAGAACCAAACAGTCAAACTATCTGCACATGATTTGACTATAGTGGTAAAGGCCTGTACAGAACCAGCCACAGATTTTGGAAGAACTGAATACAGAAATTGGTGCATATAATATGCCACAAAGTCTCCAAATAACCTTCCTCAGGTTTTGAATTCAGAGTTATTCTTCTAAGCTGGTTGCCAACCAAGGCTATAGAACCCAGTCTGTCCTGCTATTTACGCATAGAAGGAGGGAGAAGAGATTGATTCATACTTTTCCCAAGGGTAGTTACAAATAAGTGAATGTAACTAACTTGACTGGAATTTGAATTTAGTTCTTTGTTTTCTCAATCTGAGAAGCTATCTATTACACTACTGCACATTATATATATATATATATATATATATATATATATATATATATATATATATATAGTCAGCAATTCCTCCTTATACAAATTTCATTTTATGTCCAGAAAAGAAGAAAATTATAAGAATACAAGAAAAATTAAATAAAAACTTAACCACAGTACCTTGTCAGTTGTATTAAATGAAACTATATATATATATATATATATATATATATATGCAAATCATGTTGATAAAAACAGGCATATTTTCTCTCTGCAGTGATAACATTTGAAAAATTAAATTTAATAAAGACAAAAGAGAAAAATTTGTGAGTAATTTGAGCTTAATTCTAATCAATTAAATTGAATGGCCTAATAAGAGTAGAGGGCTTAAAATTTGTTTTTCCTTTCAAAATTAAAATGGAGATAGAGAAAAAAATCTTAAAACTGTAATTTTATAGCTTGTTTACATTAAAAGATTTTGCAGACTTAAATCAGAAAAATGCCATTGTTGAATAAACATTGATTATAGATAATGTTTCTTTAGTTTTAAGAGTGTTTAAAATGAAATTCTGACCTTTGTTGTACCTGCCTATATGTACATATTAAACTACATATTAAGCTACTAACATATTATATCCTACAACCATGATGAGAGGTTTGTAAATACCTGCTTATATCTTCATGCATAAGATCGTTTGTAGTTGGCTAGTGAGGTTAAAATAAAATTTGACTAGAAGAAATTAATCTTTATCCTCATCTTGGATGCTTAAAATTCTGTGGTCTTCATAATATATTATTAATCTTATCTTTTGGTCATTGCATAAGCATTGCTTTTCATTTGATCACTGCAAGGTAAAGCTAAATCAATTCTATAACTGATGACAACCTTAACATAAAAGTGATACAAGTTTATTCTTTATTAAAAAATATTTATTTGGGATATTTTGGAAATTTATTATAATTTTTTATGTTAATAATTACAAAAGAGAATTTTCTTTTTTTTATTATCAAAGTGAAGGATGTCTATAACAATAAAAAATGCTTCTCGGATATTTAGTCAGAATCTGATGTTTTCATATGGATTCTTTTGTGTCTTTAGAAAATTAGCCAAAAAGATAAAAATTCTCCCTGACAATGGCATTTTCTGAGAAGTTTTTGCCACTTAAAAACGGTGATATTAAATATTTTGTAGTTGTAAATTAGAAACTAGTCTCAAAATTTGGAAGAAGTACTCAAAGAAAATATACAAAAATCTATAAATTTAAAAATAAATTGAGAAAAACCAAACCTCCACTTTTATGAGCAGCAGACAATACCAGAAAACACAAAGCCAGAGCAACAACAACAACAAAAAAAATACTTTGATTAAAAATATAATGCCCAGGAAAATTGAAAAAAAATTGCTCAGGTGTGAAATAGATTTTGTTTTTCATTTTTTTTCCATTTCAGGACAGTTTTAGAGAAGCTATACAAATAGAATTGTATGCATATACAAAAGTTGCCAAAAGTTTTCACAAGACAAAATACAGAAATAAAGCATAGATATCTTTCAGATAAGTTAGACAGTTATTTTTGAGAAATCTGTTTGGGATTTTTTACAGAAATACTTACAAATCACAAGCAACTTTCTGTATAATTTCTTGATAATTCACTGGCAAGTATATGCTACTTTCATTTAAGAAAAATATGACATTGTCAATTGAAATGTTACAATTTGTAAAAATAATAATGGATGGGCTGGTTTAAGGGAAATCATAATTTTTGAAGATCGTTAAGGAATAAATATTATAATTGTGCTTGTGATTCAAAAAATCTGTTGAGAAATTATTTGTAAACTTAAAAGAACCACAATGTTTTCTTTTATATTTAATAAAATTAAAATTTGAATGTAAACTTGACCATTACTGTGTTTCTAGGTATTCATACAATTGCTTAAAACAATAAATAAATAAAAAAAAGGAATAAAACATACACTAATGATGATCACTATCTCTTCAACTTTGACTATTTAATGGGCACTTCTGCGTGAAGTAATGGCTAACAAGCTAGTTTGGTTGACCATCACTACCGAGTAGAGAGTTTGATTTTCACTGAGTAACCAATCCTTGTGCCAAACTAAGCTAAGCTTGGTGAATAACAACCTTGACTATTATTCCAATTTGTAGGAAATGGAGGGAAAATAAATATTAAAATGTCTAAGATATGTTTGTTTTCAATGTTTTTTTTTTAAAGTCAAAAATTTATTTTATATATATATATATATATATATATATATATATATACACACACACAGTGTCCCTAAAGTCTGGACACAGAAAATCTCATCAACTATGTTTTTTTTTTTTTTTTTTTTTTTTTACCTCCACAGATTAAACCTGGTTTTGTCAAAAGAAGAAAAAATTGACTCCTTTTTCTGGGGGTATGCTAAAGGAGAAGGTGTACTCAATGAAAATCACAGATGCAACATACTTGATTGAATGCATAAAGAGTGAATGTGCTAAAATTGACAGCAATGTGGAGTTATTGCATAGAGTTCATGTGAATCTTGCAAAGCACATTAACCTTTGCATCACAAATGATGGAAATCATATGGAAGATTTATTTATTAATATTCCAATTCAATAAAATGTTGTGGAAAATTTAATTTCTTGAAAATATGCATTTTTGTTGATGTGTCCAGACTTTGGGGACATAATGTATATATAACTTCATTCACAAACCAAGTGAATTTGTGGAGAAGTTAATAATCTACAAGGTTTTAGAAGAGAACAAATTATCAAGGTTTCAAAATGTTTTTGTAGCATGTAGGTTGTTCATTGGTGGTTTGTACATATTTGTCAGCATAAAATTTACAATGGAAAACTTACAGCAAGAGAAGCTGATACAGACTCTGTACTCATTTCTGAAGTTTGCAAAGGCCACAATGTTTTGATTGGCAAACGTCTGATCTTCAGCTGGTGATTATAGAATGCACGCATGATGCAAATATGTTATTTAGGTAAACCTGTGACTTATGACTATTGAAAATATATCATTTGAAATGAAGTAAGAAAAAGTAGTGCAGCATTTGGGAACTTGTTGAAGAGAATACAGGCACCATCAAGATGGAATCCTTATGATGTATAAGCCATCTTAATTAGGTCACTGAAAATTTTCTGGGGGGAAGTATTTGAAAACGTCAAATAGCAACAAAGATAACATTAATTTTTAAAGAGTTCTAAATGTATTCTAAAAGATGTAATTTAAAATGTATGATGGCATCAATTGCATCAAATGATAAAGAGTTGTCAATCAAAAACAATGTATTTTTCAATTTCAGAATCAGGGCACAGCCCTGAATTTTTCACTTTCCACCATATTACATGGAAATTGGCAGTTCTATGATTCCTTGCATCCAAGTTGAGTCTCCAGTTCTTTTTATTTGTTTACCGCTGAATTGTTATCTGGTAAGATTCTTACCGCTGAATTTGTTGCTGAATCTGTTGAATTTTCATCTTTTTAGCAAATTTTGCATTGGCTGATGTGATCTTTGACCACATAGCATCCTTGATTGCACTCTTCAGTGTTGTTGAATTGACTTGGCAATATGCTGACCAATCAAAAAGAAAAGAAAAAAAAACATTTAAAATACCATCAAAATACATTCAATACCTATAGAGAGAGAATAAGAAAAATACATATTACTATAATTGAAATTTAACTGATATAAAATACAGAAATATTCAGTTGCTAAGAAAAGGTGTAAGTTCTATTAGCTTCTTTTCTAGAACTGTTACTTTGTGGAACAGACCTGTGAAAGGATGCTTCCCTAACCACTACAAATTTAACTTCTTCAAGTCCAGAATCCATCATTATTTATCCAACATAACCACATCATATGCACTGAGTGATTCCTCCTTCCCCCCTGCTTACAACAATCCCACTCAGTAATCTTCTACCTTGAGTGAACCTTGGGCCTTGCATTGGATAGACTAAAGTTAAAATAAAAAGAGAAAAAGCCTGATTGCTACTGCAAAGACAAGGAGTTGGTAATAAAATGAGCTACATTTCAGCATAAGGGGGGGGGGGGTTTTGGGGGGGGGTTTTTTTTTTTTAAAAAAATTTTTGGGGAAAAATTTTTTTTTTGGGGAAATTTTTGGGCAAAAAAATTGGTAAAAAATTTTTTTTTGGGGGAAAAAAAAAGGGGGGGGGGTTCCGGGGGGGTTTTTTTTTTGGGGGTTTGTTTTTTTGGGGGGGGGGGGTTTTTTTTTTTCCCTTTTTTGGGGGTTTTTTTTTTTTGGGGGGTTTTAAACCTTTTTTTTTTTTGTTTTCCGGGTTTTTGGGGTTTTTAAATTTTTTTTTTTTTTAAAAATTTTTTTGGGGGGAAATTTTTAACAAAAACCCTTTTTTTTTTTTGGGGGGAAAAAATTTTTTTGGGGGGGTTTTTTTTTCCCCCCCTTTTTTTTGGGGGGGGGGGGGTTTTTTTTTTTTTTGGGGGGGTTTTTTTTTTTGGGGGGGGGGGGGTTTTTTTTTTGGGGGTTTTTTTGGGGGTTTTTGTGGGGGTTTTTTTTTTTTTCTTTTAAAATTTTAATTTTTTTAAATAAAAAAAATTTGTTTTTCCCTAAATTAAAAATTTTTAAAATTTTAAAAAAAATTTTGGGTTTTTGGGTTAAATTAAAAAAAAAAAAAATTTAAAAAAAAAAATAAAAATTAAATTTTTTTTAAAATTTAAATTTTTTTATTTAAAAAAAAAAAAAAATTTTTTAAAAAAACTAAAAAAAAGGGTTTTTTTTTTTAAATTTTTTTAAAAATTTTTAAAAATTTTTTTTTTGAAAAAATTTTTCCCTTTTTTGTGTTTATTTTTTTTGGGGGGGTTTTTTTTTTTTTTTGGGGGGGGGGATTTTTTGGGGGGGGGGGCCCCCTTT